AACTACCTCAGGGTTAGGAAGCAGGGGGCCTTTGAACAACGGGTATTTAAAACTAATGATAACGTAGGAGAAGGGGTTTGTAACTACCTCAGGGTTAGGAAACAGGGGGCCTTTGATCAACGGGTATTTATAATAACAGCTGATAAAAACGGGAGTGTTTGACAAGGATCCAATTTCCTTGATCAACCAAGATTTCGTCCAACTGTTAATAGGTGTGAGCGTGTTTGGCTACCTAAGGATTAGGAACTAAGACTCCCTAACCATCTGGGATTTATATCTAAAGTTAATAATAATTTGGGTGAGGAAATATATAATTACTTAAAGTTTAGAATCTAAAACTCTTTCATTAGCTATGACTTATATCTTTAGCTGGTGCTAATTTAAGTATGAAAGAGTTTCCTTACCGCTGGGCTAGGATTCTGGTTGCTTCTTCTATTATCAAGGCTGCTGCAGCTATATGTTTAGGTTCAGGAAGGTCAGACGACAGCTCGTGAATCTCTTGTGGAAGTCGGTCTGAAAATGTTAACAATTTATCTTCTTTTTTTTTTATCTGTATTTCTGTTCATGAATAAGGCCTAAACATCTACAAAAACTTGTGATTAACACTGAATACATTGTTTTTTGAAACTCTTTAACATTACTAAGAGTTAATATTGCTGACTTTTGGTATATTTCTTATTGATTTGAAGACAACAAAACAAATCACAATGATAATCTTCTAAAAGAATCAGAGCGAAACCAAACATACTGCTCAGCAGACACAACGTTCAACAAACGCATTCTTTACAAAAAACGCAGTTCAGCAAACACAACGTTCAACAATTACATTCTCTATAAAACACACAGTTCAACAAAGATAACGTTCAACAAACGCATCTCTACAAAACACAAAGTTCAACATAGACATTCTGTACGAAACACAGTTCAGCAAACACAACGTTCAACAAACACATTCTGTACAAAACACATAGTTCACTAGACACAACGTTCAACAAACACATTCTATACAAAACACAGTTCAGCAGACACAACGTTCAACAAACACATTCTGTACAAAACACATAGTTCACTAGACACAACGTTCAACAAACACATTCTATACAAAACACAGTTCAGCAGACAACGTTCAACAAACACATTCTGTACAAAGCACACAATTCAGCAGACACAACGTTCAACAAACACATTTTGTACGAAACACAGTTCAGCAGACACAACGTTCAACAAACACATTTTGTACGAAGCACAGTTCAGCAGACACAACGCTCAACAAACAAATTCTGTACAAAGCACAGTTCAGCAGACACAACGCTCAACAAACAAATTCTGTACAAAACACAGTTCAGCAGACACAACGTTCAACAAACACATTCTGTACAAAACACACAGTTCAGCAGACACAACGTTCAACAAACACATTCTGTGCAAAACACACAATTCAGCAGACATAACTTTTACAAAACAAAAAATTAAACTTACCCACAAGTCTGCGCGCTTCTTGGACAGCATTGTTAATATCATCAAAAGTAATACATATCTGACCAGTGATCCTTTGTGGCACTGACTTCAAGCTATAAAGTTTTATATTCATTTATGAACACAGTCTGTTTATATTTTATTAATTTGCTGGATTTTATTTATACTAATCCTTATCTAACCACCTGGATCTTTAATTTTCTGTATACGAATAATATTTTTAAAGAAAATTTGGTTTGATAGTTGAAAACTCTGATTAGAAATTAAGTATACAGTTATTGTTTCTTCTAAAAACCTTTTTATTACAAGATCTTGTAAATTAGCAGCAATACGTGAAGAGGCACAATGTTGTTCTGTTAACATTAAGACGTTGCATTTACTTCAGAAAAATTACTAAAAACTGTTTTACGACGTTGCATTTACTTCAGAAAAATTACTAAAAACTGCTTTAAGACGTGGCATTCACTTCAGAAAATTACTAAAAACTGCTTTACGACGTTGCATTCACTTAAAAAATTACTAAAAACTGCTTTAAGACGTTGCATTTACTTCAGAAAAATTACTAAAAACTGCTTTAAGACGTTGCATTCACTTCAGAAAAATTAATAAAACTGTTTTAAGACGTTGCATTCACTTCAGAAAAATTACTAAAAACTGCTTTAAGACGTTGCATTCACTTCAGAAAAATTGCTAAAAACTGCTTTAAGACGTGGCATTCACTTCAGAAAAATTACTAAAAACTGCTTTAAGACGTTGCATTCACTTCAGAAAAATTACTAAAAACTGCTTTAAGACGTTGCATTTACTTCAGAAAAATGACCAAAAA